TCAATACTTCATTGTTTCAGATATTTCACTGAAGAGCTTAAATGAATGTCAAATTTGTTCTTAAAATAGAGGGTGTTGCTATTGTGTAACAAAGGAAGTGAATGGAAAAAATACTGTTCCTTCAGTCTTTGCTTTCCCTTCCACACCTGTGAGACGTTGCTGCCTTACAAAGCTGATACGTGTGCACTGCTGTCAGCAGGCTCTGCTCCTGCCTTTTGACTCCAGTCAGTTGCTCTGTGAACAGTTCAGTGGATAAGCACATCTCTCGGTAGTATGAGAAATGATGGCAGCCCTTGCCAGGACTAGCCTTTCATGGTGTGTGACCTGTGGCTGCAGTTTAACTACTTCTCCAAGTACTCCTGCAGTGTTTAACATGGACATAACATGCGCTGGTGCAGTTAAACTTAATTTTGGGGAGTGCCATGAGGTAATGAGGAAGAGTATGTGTGCTCGCTTCTTTGAAGAACGCATCTATGACGATAAGAGTGGTGTTTCTTTAGAAAAGAAAAACGAAAGGGTGCAACTTCTCTATATTCTGATATACATATGGAGAAAAGTGTTTTGTCTGCTTGTGCAAGCTGGGCCCGTGGGCCCATTATTACTGTTTGGGTGGCTCGGCTGGGCTGTGTTTGTGTTGCACATTCTCTGCTACCCACATCACCACGTTTTGAATTGATGCATTTCCACTTGCTTTGCTTTTTATTACTGCATTGTGGGGCAATGCAGATGGCTGTCTCCTTAGCTTTAGAATAGGATCAGGAATGCGGGAGAGGTGCCTTAGCATCAAGCTAATTGTGTGAGGAGGAGGAGAGCTGGTCAAACCAGTCGTGTGAGTGCTAAGAGCCCTGTGGCTTTGCGTTAGAAGCCAGTGACAGAGAGCTTTGCACATGCCACAGTGGATGTGTGGCAGTCTCAGGACGTGGCAGGTTATTCAGGGTATGCAGGCAGGCAAGCTTGGGCTGGGCCAATCTCAAAATGCTAATTTGTAAAGGTCCTACCCTGAGCGTTTTAAGGTGACTTGATAGCGATTACATTCTTCTCTGGCCTGGGCAGCAGAAGGGGAGAGGAATACTGTGAGAGTGAGAGAAACCTCACATGGAGGGGACTGAGGAGCGAGACACTTTAGCCAAACTGTTCAGACTATGATCAACCCTGAGGAGGGAGCGGAGCAAGTGGTCAAAGGTGGAAGAAAGAAAACAGCGCAAGGTCAGCCAGTGCTCACCCGGCACTTCACTATCTCTCAACGTACTGTATGCTGGCCTGCTGTGGTTTGCCTTTCTGATGCGTACGTAACAGATCGTTACATAAAACAATTGATCTTCTTTGAGTCAGGATTTGCCTTTTTTGATGCCTTCTGAAGATATCTGAAAAGATGCTGAGCTATTTTGTTTTCTTAATGCAGTATTTTGTAAGAGAGTGATACCATAACCTTATAACTTCCCAGATTTTGGAAGAGTGACTTACAGGGATGGGCAGGATAATAGAAGGTGGATATGAAACCTGGAAAGACATGGAGCTGCTGTCAAATATGTATCTGGTGTCCAAATAAAATCTGGGGCTTGCTGTATTTCTGTGTTTGATGTGAAACAGTCATATATTAGCGTGTTTTATTTCAGCACTGCTAGTCTGGCAGTGGTGACCGTTTTAAGTTACTCTCACACAAACTCTTTTGCTTACAAAGCTTTTTCTATAGCACTATTACTGCAGTTTTCTGTCTCTGGCCTTATAAAGGAGGTATGTCTTATATTCAGTTGGCTGAGGTAGGCACAACAAACTTCAGATATTCAAGAGTCATTTGGATATCAATATGACCTTGCATTGACAGTTACTCCATGAGATTTCTTTATCTGGGTATTTCTGATGTGAAGATAAATTGTGATCCTTTATCTGGGTATTTCCGATGTGAAGATAAATTGTGATCCTATGACAAATTGTTAAGTTTTATTTCTGTTTGAAAGGTAGGACATGAAAAATAGATAAGTTTGGGCAGATCTGAAATGCAGTGTATTGGAATCAGAAAGGCTGGCAACCTTCTTAATGTGGTGAATTAAAGTCTGGGTGTCACTGAAAATTAAATCAAGTCTGCAGGGAACAGTAAATCATCATAATTTATTTTCCATGCTTTAACCGATTTGTATAGTCAATACTCAAATTCCCCATGCCTTTGATACAAAACCTACATTTTTTTATGATTGATACTAATTTTAAGATATTATGGATACAGAGTTGATGGCATTTTATTGCTCTGCAACTGAGTTATGCAAATAATTATATTCCTGCTTCCACATAGATTAATCTTTCTCTCTGCTAATTCACAGTATCATTTACAGAAATATCACAATAATACGAAAGCTGAGTATCCTTCCCAATGTACCGTCTTATACAGGGCTGTATTTTTCACTGTTGCTTTCATATGAAGAGGAATACTGTTCAGTTTGCTGACTGGACTGGAGAATTTTGGGTATGGTAATCAACATGGAAGTTCACATATTTGATTTTGCACATCTTGTGGGAGTGATGAACTTCAGCAGCTCGGCAGTGATGAGCAGCTTTGAGGCAGTAATACATCAAACAACTGCACATTTTTTTGATTTTAAAACACTTCAGAATGAGCTTAAAATAAGCCAAAAAAGCCCTGATGATCATTCCAGAGGATGTATCAGCAAAAACTTAGAACAGAGTAAGCGCTGTAGGAAAAAAAAAATGTACCTTGGTTTTATACAATTTCTTTCAACAACTGAGTGTATGGATTATAAGCCACCTGTGACAAGAGGGAACAGGTTGAAGATGATTTTTTTTTTCTCCCTCTAACAGCATCATTTGCAAATTATCTTATGGTTATTGACTGTATTAAATGCATCAGTCTCCAAACATTGTGGATTTTTTTTTTACAGCTTTTTAAATAAGTAGGAACTAGTGTGTTCTGCTGCTATCAGCCTGAGTGCTGCTTCCTGCAGTTATGTTCGTTCTTTTTGCAGATTGAGGTTGTCAGTGGGGGATGTTTCTTTTGTTCGTTTTATTTTGGAATAGCAATAGTACATTGTGAACTTTCATTACTAGCAGAAGTTCTCAAAAATTAGATAGGTACCAAAAGGTCAGTTGTTTTGGCTGTATGAACAAAGTAGATGGATTTTGTTGGCCCTTCTGTTGACCTAAGCATAAACCCTTTGCAGCAAAGGGGAGTCAGGGATTTTAATAGTATCGAGGAATATCTGTGTCTCAAATGGGGAGTCCTTGCAAAAGTTTCACATTGTATATGAACTCACACATGTGCCATCTATTCTCATTTGTAGCTTTCCTTACCGTTTACTTTCTGGCTCCGACTGATTGGTACTGGCTTAGGGGCTGTAGTGATGTTGATTTTTTTTTTTAATTTTTTTTTTTATTTGAAACCAAAAAAGTTAAGTGTCTTACTTAAAAATGTGTAATTATTGTTTGATCTATGACTATTGTCTGGTTATGGCATGTTCCTTTTTATACTCTCAGCCCTGTACTCAGTTTTCCTTATCCTTTCCTCTTGTTAATTAACTGGAGGTTGTAGCCCTCCTGTTTGTTTCAGATACCCGTGGTAGGATTTTTGTTTGGGATTTCCTGGTAGAAACAGCTGAGCTGAGGCTGCTGCTTTTTTTTCCTTATCTAATTCTTGTACCTAATAGTGGTAGCAATTAGTCACAGACCTAATGGGATTCGTATATCCCTCTGTTTTAACAATGTAAGCCTCAGCACCAAATGTTGGTTAATAAGGGAGGACTCTGGAGGAGTGGAGCCAGACAGTACAAAGGGTTTCTTTTCAGACTTGAGTCAAAGTGCAGGGCCTGGAGCCTGTAGCTGAACCACTCGGACTGTGTGACTGTGCCAGAGCGAGCTAAACAAATGAGAAAGCAAGCATGAAAACAAGTTTAGTGTTGCAAAATGGCCAGTTGTCCTGATTTGAGCTCGAACCAGGACACAAGGTTACAGCTTTCTTTAACTGCTGCAGTAGCAGAATTTAATTTATAAAGACAAGAAATCCCTTGTTTTTAAATAGCCTAATGTATTTGGCATAAGGGAATAGGGTTGCATCTAAAAGTTATGACTGCTGTAATGAATTTCTCCTCATGGAAGTGATATGAGCTTCTTGTGACTGCTAAAAAAAAAGTCAGCAGTCTTTCCAGACACCTGGCCATCTGGGGTTCCTGAAAAAGAAGATACAGCATTATACCCAGGCTTTTCCATAAGGTTCTGGCAATTTGGATCTCATATGGTATCCTTCTAGTAGAACAGTTTCTGCTCAGCTTTTCAACTCCTCAAGTATTTGCTCCGGGATCTACCTCATGAGAGCGTGAATCTGCTGCAGACCATCTGTGCTCTTTCAGCAAGGGATTTTGGCTGCTTGAAAGCAGATGGGAAAAGAGAATGTCGCCCTCAGCCTCTTCCTTTAGGTGGCTGTGTACAGGTGCATTTTGCTGTACGGGTGGTGAGTGAGGATGTGACAGTAAGGAAGTTGAATATTCTGGCTGGATGAGGGAGTTGCCCTATGTTGTAAAAATGAGTAAGTCAAGACATAGTGTTGCTTTCAAATCACGGACAGGAAAATGAAAGCTGTGAGGCTCTAGATTCTTATATTTTTTTCTTATTTTGTGTCCGAAGTGTTTCTCGGAGGTTATTACTTGAAATTTTTGTGGATTTAAATGATAGAACTATTAATTTTAAAGAGATCATTTTTTAATTAATTTTTTGTATTGCCTTAGCATTTACTGTCCCTCTGCTTCCTGTTTGCTGTGCTTGATTTCTCACATTCTTTCAGAAGAACTTGTATTGGAGCATTTATTTAAACCAGGCTGGGAGATCAGCAAACTCTGTATAACACTTGTGTATCTAAATATTTTTGCAGTTTGGATTTTACTTTCCCCTAGCCTTTCTT